GGCGAGAGAGAGAGAGAGAGAGAGGCGAGAAGGCAAGAAGCGAGGCGGCCACCGCCTCACCGTGAAACTCGGTGATTTTTCGAGGCCGAGACGTGCACAACTTTTTTGCAAACCGATCGAAGCGATCGAGGTGTGCTGCTCGCGGCTCTCGCAATGAACGAAATGCGATACGCGCGAGACTTTTTTTCGGGCCTGCGCGAATCGATCATGGCGTCACGGGAAAGAAACCCGTTCGCTCGCGCCAACTGCACTCTGGCTTCGCCCGCATTCGCTCCGTTACTTTTACCGTGCGTAAGGGAGGATGGATAGCTCTCCCCCCGCTTTCTCCCCCTCGTTGGATTGGTATTTTATGGCGGTAGTAAAAAAAAAAAAGAAAAAAAAAAGCGGAGATAATGGCACCTATCTGGTTCCATCGATCTTCTCCACAAAAGTGAAAAGATGCTCGATTTAATTAGATTTATTGGACGTTAATGTAACGTATTTGTAAGATGTTTGTTTATTATTTCCTTGATTAAAGAACGTGTGGAGAAACCGGATACCATTTTCCCTCTGCGTTATTATTAACCGTGGAATCCGTTCAAACGAATGAGTTGGAATTTTCACGTTTAACTTTCGTAAGAAAGTTATCAATATCGATTTCTCGATCAATTCTTTTTTCCAGGGAATAAAATTGTGTCCACTACTCACGGATGTCGGGTCCTGGATGACGATGGCAGCACATGAAAAAAAAAACAAAAGCGAAAAAGTAAGGATAAAACATGTGCGATGTGATGGCGAAAAAATTCAGGAACGATTTAATTTTCAATTTCGCGTCTCGTTCCTTTTATTATCTTTGTCGAAACGCGACCGATCGGCCGGTCGAGCGAGTACAAACGATCGGTCGAAACGACGACGTTGGCGAAGTCGTTTCGAGACGAGGAGGCGCAGTTTATGCAGGAATAATAATTGGATTGTAATCGTCGTGGGGGACGGAAGCACGCACTTTTCTGCCCCCGTGCTGCTACGTGATCGCATCAGCAGCTCTCAACCTGCGTTCATGCGATTCTCGATTTTATTTATCGAGGCTTGCTTCGTCAAATTCATCAGGTTTTTTGGTGCAACTTTGCGAGTTGCGATCCTTTTGTTAAATAAGATCTTCCGAAAGTGAGACACCAAGGTAAGGATAAAATTATGGAATTTCGTGTTTGCAGGATGGATATGATATTGGAAATTCACACATGAAACGCATAATTTGTACGAATTGCAACCCTTGTTAAGTAGGATTTTCTAAAACATAGGGATAAGGGTGTTGAAACGGACGTTATATTATTTGAAGTGCAAAAGTATCGAATTTCATTGTATCCCTCTTATAATTTTCAAAATTACAATGGCTAAATGGCGTAAGATCGATCGAAAAACCATCCTTAATTCGACGACTATGATTAATTAGGTTTATGTAAATAAAATTGCGAATCCTTGTTAAATAAGATTGCGAATTATAGAGGAAGGAGGATAAAATTTAAGAATTTTGTTACAAATTTTGTTACGAGAAGTCTTTTAAAAAATCGTAGATGGCGTTCGACAACGCATCCATTCGAAAACGACACGAAAAAAGGATTTTTAACAAAAATTGCATGCTGTGTGAATTCTTATTAGATAAGAATTACAGATTTCAGATGGAACAAAATTTAAAAAACTTGGTTAACAAACGAGATCGTCTAAGAAGCTACGTCGTAGATGGCGTTCGTCAACGCATCCGTTCGAAAACGACACGAAAAAAGGATTTTTAACAAAAATTGCATGCTGTTTCTTATTAAATAAGATTGCACAGATGGAACAAAATTTACAAAAAGCTTGGTTAACAAACGAGATCGTCTAAGAAGCTACGTCGTAGATGGCGTTCGGCAACGCATCAATTCGAAAACAACCATTCATAATTCGACGACTACGATCAATCAATCCTACGTAAATAAGATCGCTTAGGGAAGGGGGATAAAATTTAAAAACTTCGTCCAAGATCCTCGTTGATCTTCTTAAAAAAAAAAAAAAAAAAAAAAAAAAAAAAAAACTAATCGTCATAGATGCGACAACAACCGTCGTCCCACGCGGGAAAAAAATCGATTGAGAAACTCTGCCCCGAGTAATCGCGCCAAGTTTCGAAGTATAAAGACGTTCAAACCTCCCTCCCCCTCCCCCTCCCCCGACAATTTGTTATGCATACCTCGCATGGACGAAAATTGCGTTTAATTCGCCGGCTGCTTACGCGACTCCTCTCCCCCCCCCTCCCCGTTTGCCATTCGAAAATCACGGGGCCCCCCATAAACGTAGATGTCCCATTTAAAAACCCATTCTCGCGTGTTTAGCATAATACGTAATCGCGCGAATCGCGATCTCCCTCCTCTCTCGAATTATTATTTCCTAGATTTTTTTTCTTTCTCTCTCTCTCTCTCTCTCTCTCTCCTTCGACCGTCTATTCTACGAAAGAGGGGGGAAGGAAGGGGGATGATCGCGATTCCCAGAACAGATTTATATATATATATGTGTGTGTGTGTGCGTGTGCGTGTATATACGAAGCTCGCGCCAAGGATACGATCGAATCTCGAGTCGAGGTGGCAGCACGAAAAAAGTGGTGCTGGTGTCCCCCCCTTTGATAAATTATTAAGAAAGAAGGGGGAGGGAGGGGGGAGGAGGAGGATAACCGCGTGTTCTCTAGGGGAGAGGATACACGGAGGATTTTATGGGGACACTGGTATTTGGAAAATAATTACGGCGAAATTTGTTGTAAACCGTTCTGGTAATTGATGGTGTAAAGGAGGGGGGGGGGAGAAAGAGGGAAGGAGAGAGGGAGAGAGAGGTCGATGGACCATGGATTCGCGTTGTGGGGCTGGTGGTTTGGTTTGGTGGAGGAGAAAGTTTTGGAAATGGTTTTTGAATTGGCCTTTTAGAATTGTTTTTTAGAATTTTAAAACAAGCAGCTTGGAATTGTTGTTGCGTTTACCATAATCGATTATGTTTTCGATCATGTTGTTTCTCGTTACAAATTTGTAATTGTTGTAATTCCTGAGATTAAAATACGAAAAGCGGATCGGCTATTTCGAAATTTTTTAACGTCCTGGGTTGCTGCTAATGCCCAACCCTGATACTTTTGCGTTTAAAAGAAACACTTGACCCTTATATACGTGTAATATAATTACATTCTAGGGACTTTTGTTACTTGATCGGTAACCTTCTTAAATACAAATACGAGTGACTCTCAAGCGCCACTTTTGGATCGATAACTCTTTACAATCATCCCCTCGACGAATACATTCCTCTTTATTTGCGCAATAAGAATCATGCACAATAATCGATACATCAAGATATATCAAAATATATCAAAAGTTTCGTACGTTTCAATTCACGACGAAAAAAAAAAGACCCAACAACTCTTCCCTGAAGAAACATCCCCATCGATTAATCGACTTGTCATCACAAAGGAATCGAGACAAATCCTTTTTCTGCCTCTGAATATTTCCAAGCCAAGTTGCGCCAACGTTTCCATTTCGTTGAAATAAAGTGGGCCAGAACACACGAGGCAATTAATTACTGGCTGATCTGATTGCGCGCAATTAATCCTGCCGTCTTCCCTCCCCGGCATCGTTAATTAAGAGTAAACGAATGTCTCCACGGATGTAGACACTCGCCAGTGTGTGTGTGTGTGTGTGAGAGAGAGAGAAAGAGGAGGAACGCTCGTTTATTTGGAATAATTTAACTTTGAACGTGGACGTGGCTAGATCCACCCGATAAATTGTCGCTTATATCGATCTGTAACTCGTTATAGCTCGTTCCTTCGATTCTTATTCTCGCTTTGTCCACGTCGTGTTATCGAATTTCTTTCGATTCGATGGATTTTTTTAGGGGATCGTCTCTTAAAAGAATTCGATTGTTGCATTCGAAAAATTTAAAAAAAAAAGGAAGAAGAGGAATATGGTTGCAATGAGCTCAAATTCACAATTCCCAATTCCCGGCAAATTCTTCCGTTCTCGTCAACTTTTTATTTGATGGATGTGTTTCTTTCGCAAAAAGGTTTCGCCAAGTTGAATCAAATTATCGTTATTCTTCTTATTCTAGAAAGATTCTGCAAGAATTTTTCGTTCAACTGGACACGAATAATTAATAACCATACTTGAACAGAAACTTATTTAACTTCTAGGTGAGGTCATTGAACAACGTCGCCATCTTTCGGCAAAATCCATGCTTGCTTGCTCGACTCGTCCAATTATTTGTCGGTTTCAATTTCGTACGATATTAATTAATCCCAACGATTCCAGGATTAGCTTGTTGTTAGAATACCAGAAATTGTAGTTATTCGATTTTAACTAATTAACGGTAGTTTCAATCGAGATGTAGCAAAGTGTAGGGAATCGCGCCAAATTTCTCGATTATCCTTTGGATGATCCATGGGATCAAGCAATTTAATAACACGAAGCCCAAGAAGCGGGTGCATTCGAGGTCAGCTCGGGTCGAGGTGTATAAAGATAATAAAGGCAGCCACCGGCCGGTCGGCGAGTAAGCTCTTTTATGCCCAGGTACGTTGACTCGAGAGAGGTCTCTCTCGTAAACGTGTAAGCCGCACCAACTTTGGCCAATGTCCGAAATTCGTGTTTATTTTCGCAAACGATATCGATATCGATCCGTGGAAAATGAAATAACGAAATAATTTTCGACAATAATCTTAAAAAGCTCCATCTCGCGTGCCAAAGGTTAACTTATTCCTTCAAAACTCTCGTAGACCAGATCTAAACCAGTATTCATAAATATTTCATCGCGGGACGATCAATCTTTCGATCGTACCATCACCCTAACGTTTCTCACGAACGCTTGCAAACAGTGTGAATAAAATTTCCACTATGCTATCATCACAATGCGTTCACAATACGCTAATAATGACATCAAACGCGACGCGAATCAGTTTCCAAAGGAGTAATTCGATAATAATAATCGGTGGTGGCGTAAAAAAGAAAGCTGTTTCGGGGTCCCCTAATGACGAGATCGGGGCCGTAGGGGTCGCCAGAGGGGTCAGGCCGCGCAAAAATAATAATCAATCGGGCGATTGAGAGGCGGCCAATTACGCGGTGGCGGCGGTGCCTCTGCTGCGGTTTTGCAAAAGGAGGAGGGACGAGGACAGCCAAGACAGCTTCCTTGCCCGCCTTTGATTCACCTCGAACGCTCTTTTCCTGGCCCACCTCTCATCATAACCCAACAACTCCCTCGCTTTATTATATTAAAAGTTAAAATTCCCCTCGATCTTGCGGCAAACCGCTTCTTCTTCGACCTCCCCACCCCCTTTCACACGAGATTTAATACAGGATGATTCCACTGGCAGAGCGATTCAAGCCTAGTTAAATGAAAGAAAAAGAAACTATAGCTAGGGTTTTCCAGATGGCGCTCCTCCTATCAGCTTGGTAATAAAACTCTGGAAGGCGATTTTTTTTTTAGTTAAACAATTATTACGTATCTCGATGAAATCCATTATATCATTGATTCGTGTCCAAATTAATTACAATAAAACAAAAAAAAAAAAAGAAAAAAAACTAATGTAGCCAGAGAGTTTTCCAGATGGCGCGCTCTCTTGGTAATAAAACTCGCTCGAGGAAGGCGAAAAACGGTAAAACTGTCAGGAGGAAGAACAAAGGGATCGTGGTGGGGAGAGAGAGAGAGAGGATTTACGAATTCACGGG